ATGTTATACTTCTTCTTGATTTTATTGGAAACTATCTAAAAAGAAAGACACGAATCTTGCTTTTTTTAATTAGACACTGGTAACCCAACTATCCATTTGCCAGCATTCATACAATGAATGGTAGCTCTGATTTTAATTTATTTTTTAATCTATAACTTGGTCTAACAAGCTGGCTTGCTCTCCAAGTGCTCCTGCCTTCAAGAGACTCATTAAAATCCAGTTAATGAGTCTGTAAATACAGATTTTATTATTTGGTTGAATATTTGAGTTTTTTTTTTTTTTAATTGGCATTTTGTATCCTTTGGTTTTATCTGTATCACTAATAATACTGATTAAACTGTAATAAAATAAAAGCGCTTTGAAAACTTTTGACTGGTAGTGTAGAATAAGTAGAATAAAATACATATTTTTGAGAAATGTTCTATTTTGTGAAAATTCTGTATTTCTGTAACTCTATCACCAGTACACTGTTAGTCATAAAAACTAGTAGTTGATTTGGACTTTTTTTTTTTAATTAGTTGCTTTTTTAAAAAACGAACCATGAGCAAAACTGAATATATACATATTGTTTTTCATAAAAATCAAAAGTTCATAAGATATTTCCTTTCACTCCTACCATGTAGGCAGTTTTCAGCCAAGCTAATGAGATGTGATGCTGTTAGATTTGCAATGCAGAGACATTTAACCAAGCACTGTCATCACGAGTGAGCTGCCTTTTTACAGCTACAATCATCTGATGATTTAGAATCACATTGTCTCTTTAAGTATAGATGCACTCGTTTATTTTATAACCATCTCTCATTGCCCTGTGTGTTACTGCTCTTGAAATAAAAGTAAGTGTATGATACGGATGATAATGACTGAACCGGATATAATGAACACAACAGAAACATACAGAAAGAGTTTACTGTACTAACTCAATATTTTTATTCAGGCAGATTTTATTTTCTAACATGAAATGAAATCATACAATAATGAAATAAAATACTTCCTACCTTGGTTTTGAGCAGATGCAGCGTGGTGTGTGTATGTGTGTGTGTGTGTGTCTGTCTACGTGTATGTTCTCTCTGTCATTAGGAAGGTGGTTTTATACGCTGCCTTGCTTCATGGAGGTCGGATTACAGAGGCTGTTATTCTGACATCATTTCCTCTGATGTAATCAAAAACTCTGCCAATTGGACACTAAAACAATTACAAACCATAATATTGTCCTGTTACTGTTATTGCTGGGGCCAAGCGATGATCTGTGACTTCGCATGTTACAGTTAGGAAGAAAAGTTGTATGGTAATGTAAATGTTTTCTTGTTTCTCGTTGTTCCATTTTGTATGACAAAGTGTACCATATTAACACATGATGGCGTGCTTGTAATTAACAATACAATATAAAAATAAAAAGTGTGCACTTTATCGCATGCTTAAGGTGTTTGTCTCAACAGCACCACCAATGATCCTAAGGAAAATGGTAGAAGAAAGAATGGTATGAAGAATTGATTCTGGGGCTGATTTCTTTCTAGAATAGACTGTAGATTCATGCAGCGTAGCAGTGAAAGTTGTGTCAGGTGATTACGCAGAGTAAAACCTCCTCTAGATTTGATCTCCATTTGGGCTGACACATCTGTAGCATGTCATTAGCAGTGATTGAAAAGTTGAGGGGATAATAAATAAGAACTAGATGGCTCATTTACTCTTTCTAATGTTTTTTTTTTCCAAAATGTGTTTGAAGGAGAAACTAAAGGTAACTAGACAAATTACAGATACAAACAACAAATTAATTTAACTTAAATTAAATTAAATGTGGAGTTCCCTATCTGATGGTGTGGTCAGTAACACAGGAGCACCACAGGGGACTGTCCTGTCTCCATTTCTGTTCACCTCTGTATAACTCTGAATCATGCCACCTGCAGGAGTTCTCTGATGACTCTGAGGTGGTGAGGTGTATTAGAGATGGGCAGGCGTTAGAGAACAGAGAACTGGTGGATAACTTTGTGGAGTGGTGCAGCAGAAATCATCTGCTCCTAAATATAAACAAGACCAAGGAGATGGTAGTGGATTTTAGAAGGACGAGAACTGCGACCAAGCCCATAAACATCATGGGTGAGAAGGTTGGAATTGTCGAGCAATACAAGAACTTGGGCGTCCACTTGAACAACAGACTGGACTGGAGGACCAACACAGACACTGTGTACAAGAAGGTGATGAACAGACTCTATTTTCTGAGGAAGCTCAGATCTTTCAGTGCTGGAGATCATCTACCAGTCTGTGGTCATGAACTCCATCTACTATGCTGTGGTCTGCTGGGGGAGCAGCATCAGCATCAGAGATGCCAGCAGGATCAATAAACTCATTCATAAGGCTGACACTATCATTGGACAAAACCTGGAGACGTCTGAGTCAGTGAGGAGAAGGAGTACACCGAACAAACTGCTCTCCATCATGGACAATCCATCTCACCCCCTTCATTACACACTACAAAGACGGCAGAGCTCATTTTCCAATAGACTCATTCAGCTCCGCTGCCATAAAGAACATTTTAGGAAATCATTCTTTCCTTTCACCATAACACTGTACAACAACTCATCTCTGTGTGATAGGTGAACACACTACTGCACAACCATCTGTACATTGTATATGTTGTATTGTATTGTATATTGTATATGTTGTATATATTATTCACTGCCATTTTTGCACACTTGTTTTTATTGCTCCTTTTTTCTTTTATTTATTACTATTACTCTTTTTGATGTTGTACATATCTTTATTTAATATTCAGTGTTTTTTGTAGATTTGCAATTCTGCTCTTAATTTTACTGTTATTCTTTATGCTGCTGTAACATAACAGTTTCCCTCATGGGATCAATAAAGTCTATCTATCTATCTATCTATCTGCAAAAGGATAAATGTCAGAATGATAAGTTCAGGTGTTTTTTTGGTTATTATTATGTTTGGTATATGGAGGAAACACTGCATGAAACCCAGTAGAGCAATACAGACTTAAAAATCAGAAATGACCAATGCAGCTGCTGATCTGCCTTTAAAAGTGTGCATTAGTTTGCCTCACATCATTCTTATTAGGCCACTGACTCATTGTTTCATTGTTGAGCAATTGGTAGATATTAGATTTTAGACCTCCCACCCAATATCACAAATATCCGTCAACAGGTATAATAATTGTTCAACCCAATATGGTGGTTGAGCTTTCGCTCTAACATCTGGAGATCGCAAGTTTGTATCCCAACGATGCTACAGCCATCTGTGGCCGGGAGCCCAAGAGAGCAAAACTGGCCATGCTCTCAGGGAGGGAGGGATGGCATACTCTCTGTCCCCTATCAATCACAGAGATACTTGCCAATCATGGGCATCTGTGAGCTTATGCATGCAGAAGTGGGTGGATAGCGCTTTCTTCTGACTTTTTTGCGCTGCCCCTGACATTGTATGAACAGCAGTTCAAAAAGATGCAGTCGGATGGCTTCATGTGATTTGGAAGAGGCATGTGATAGCCTTCACCCTTCCTGCTTGGTAGCTGTTGTGTGATAGGGGAGAGATGCTTGATGGGTGGGAATTGGCCATGACTAAATTAGGGAGAAAATTGGGACCCCAAAAAAAAAAATTTATTAAAAAATAAAAACAGTTGCCACACACAGAAAAAAAAGATACAGAAATGAAGCAGCTCAAACTGTGTAAGGGTTATCTGATGAAACCATCCTTGAAAATTTAGTTTCTAAATATAAGTGTTGCATAATTTCCTTAATCCACATTTTAGGTTAGAGCCTATGCCTATTTCCAGTTTAAGTCATATTCTAGCTAGAAGAGTTGTATTATATTACATTGCATTATCTTACATTTTTATTGCCTGAATGATTAATTATTACAGTGAGGGGAAATAAGTATTATGATACTTTTGTTTTTGTTATTTAATATACTTTGAGTGGATATATCCACTTCAGATTTACATAATGTCTTTTGGGTTTTTACTTAGAATATGAACACACAAGTATGTATTCATAAGCATAAACAAATATATGTTTAAAAAATAAAATTGATAGAGAAAAAAGTATTCGGACACCACAAATCACCACAAAATTGAACCAGAATGCTGTGAAAATCTAATTACTTATTACTATAGATGTCGCAAAGCTGATGTTGATGTTGGCAATAAATAGCTGTATTGGCAATTGTGGTTCAATTTTGGCCCATTTCTCCTAGCAAATCTTTTTCAATTTCGCAAGCTTATGTCGTTGTCTTGATGAAACGTCCGTCTTCTCGTCAGATTCAGTTTCTTGGCCAATGAGATTAAATTCTTCTCTAATAGCCATGGTACATTGCTCCATTCATGATTCCTTCAATGACGTGTAATGCCCCAGTGCTGTTTGCAGAGAAGCAGTCCCATATCATGATGCTCCCACCTCTGTATGTCACTGTAGGTATAGCGTTCTTGGGATCATACTGGCAGCCCTTCTCTTTCTTCAAATAAGCTGAATTATTGCCAAAGAGTTCTATTTTCGTTTTGTCTATATATTGTATATTGTTCCAAATTATCCTGGTTTGTCTAAATGCTTTTAGGATTGATGTTCTTCTTTTTAAGTAGAAAGGTTTTGCATGAGGTGTAGGAACAGAGATGATTACAGCACAGTTCACTGCTTATTGTTCTCTGTGTAACTGCTGTTGCTGCTTTCAGCTTGTCCTGCAACTCTTTTCTGCTATCTTCTCCCATACCTTTCCTTATTATATATAATATTATATAAATAATGACCAATGCATTATATATAATTATATATATATATATATATATATATATATATATATATATATATATATATATATATATATATATATATATAATATTATATATAATATTGTTCCGTATTATTAGTCTGAGAGTGTGTTGTGAAATCTTGTGTGGCACACCTGTGCAGGGATGAGCAGTTGTATTTCTGTGAACTGTTCACCTGCATATTTTTAACTAATTTTACGAATGTTTAAAGTCTTTGCTCTTAAATGGGTCCCTGGAGGACTAGTGGTTAGGCTCCAGCGCTCTCACTGCTGCTGCCTGGGTTCGATCCCTGGCCAGGGAACCATGGGGCTGCATGCAACTGTGCACTCTCAGTGCCGGTTTGAAGCCTGGATAAAATTGGGGAGGGTTGCGTCAGGAAGGGAATCCGGTGTAAAAACTGTGCCAAATCAAATACGTGGAACAGTGATCCACTGTGGCAACCCCTAATGGGAGCAGCCAAAAGAGGAACAACAACAAGGTCTTTGCTCTTTGCTATGGCTCTACAGCATTTTCCATTCAAATCTAGTTTAATAATACTGTCCCTGAGAAATTTAGGAAGCTCCTTGGTCCATCCCAGTAGTTTAATCATCAAACACTAAATGTGAATGTTTTTTTTAAAGAGGTGGGGTTTTATAGAGTTGTGTCTCTGAGAAAAATGAGAAATCAGTTCATTTAAACAGTTCATTAATCTGTAATGACAGCAAAGTCATTGCCAAGAAAAGGTTTCATCTGCAGTCGTGATTGCAAATCTGGGTGCTTTCAGAAAAATCATAAGGGCCATCAGAGAGTCATGGCAAAAATAATAAAGAAAAGAAAAAAAAAAGGGGAGGGGCAAAAATGAAATTAATAATGGAGAAAAATGGGATGTGTCTTTCCTAAAGAAAATGATAAAGGAACAAAAAGGAAATGATTTTAAAAAAGTGTTTGAGAAAGTGTTTGACTATAATTCTCTCCCAAAAAAGTTCTCTAAAATGAGGAACACTAGCAAATTTCTCAAACAGAAAAATGTTTGGACTAAAGTTTTTTACTGTGAACATCTGTGTTTATAAAGGAGTAAATGGAGTGGAAAGTGTGTGTAAACTGTATGTATTGTCACTCAAACAGTTTTCCTGTTTGTGCCTCAAAAACGGAACTCAAGTTTAGGGGTTGAAATCATAGTTTTACAAAAATAAGAACGATTTTCACTTAATACGAAAACAGACCAATCAAACACTAATCAGCTGCTAGCCTGCTTCTCCTGCCTCTATGGGCGGAAGTGACAGTAACATGGCAGTCATGCTGTCATGTGAATAAATACATTCATAATGTCTGTGCTGCATATTACTACTTATACCACAGTGTGGTTGTATGCTTGAATCTGATTGGTCAGAATGTGTGCATTATTTTCATATAACATTACAGCTCGGAAAGTAGCTCCGAATAACATGAACGATAGAGTCATATTGATGTGCTCGTTCTAATAGGTTATTGTTTCTATACTAACAGCTCATATGCAGGGACTTGTACCAAAGACGCTAACAGGGTAAAACTTATTATGGTTGATGTGGTGATGTTTTTGTTAGGAGACATTTGTTTAACATTTGTGGAAGGAGTCTCATTTGTAAGTGCTTTGTAACAGTCGAAGTTTCCCAGCTCAGGAGTTTACACTTTCTGGTTTCTCAGTAAAATAACAGGCTGTTTTTTTTTTTGTTTGTTTTTTTTTTGAGCGAGAGAGAGAGAGACAGAGAGAAAGAGAGAAAAAAGAGAGAGGCTGGTGAGGGAATGACTGTTAATTGTGCCTATAACGTAGGCGAGAACAGGAACTAACTTGTCTCTCAGACATTCCATTAAAACATTAACATTAAATCTAACTATAAACCTTTAAATTTGCGACATGTCTTTCATTAATAAATAAAACACTGTAATTGTTGGCAAATTGCTGTGATATAAGCAGAATAACACACTCCAGACCACACTGTTATATGAAAATAATGCACTTGTGGGGGGGTGTGGGTGCTTAGTGGCACTCTGCTTGCGCGTTGTGCCACATCATACCCCCCTGGTGTGCATTATTTTCATAAAACAGCATGGTCTGGAGTGTGTTATTCCTTACATAATGCTTATATTCTTTTTAAAGCTGCCTGGAACATGTCATGATTTTGTAAAGTTATGTTGCATTAAAAAAAAAAAAACAACTAATATTTCATTATGCTAGCAGTTCATACTACATTTATGCAGCAATATAATAAAACAACCCAATAATTATTTGTTCTACATCTCACTGCTTTTACACCTTAAAAGAATTTTCTCCCATTTATTCTTAATCTGGCTGTGTGAACAGCAGTGCTTACAGAGCTGCAGGACTACAGTACAATGATATTTCACTGCTCACTGTTTCATTTTGCTAGAAGATAAAATATTCCAGGATAAATTCTTAAATTAACTTAGGGAAGGAGGCTTGACATGGTACTGAATGCAACTTTTAGAGGGTGAGACTTTATTCTCTTATCAGTAGTCCAATACAGTATAAAATATGCACAACCTTAAAATAAATTTAAAAGTAAAACTTGAGAGTAATAGAAATGATTAATGTATGGAACAGCTAATGTGTGTGTGTGTGTGTGTGTGTGTGTGAAGAGCTTAAAGCCTTTTAGTCAGACACATGAGCACGAATTTAACAGATCTTGGAAACTGACAAAAGTATTTCACATTATATTATATTATATTATATATAATATTATATAATATAATATATTATATATAATATATTTAATATAATACATTATATTAAATACAATACTGTTTTTTCTCTGTTCTCTGCCAATTTTTAAATTGGTTTTGGCCTAGTTATGGGTAAGATTTGTCTTTAAAAATATATAATTCAAAATTATGGGTAAAGGATTTGGGAATTAAAAAATCAGAACCCTAAATACAAATAAAAAAATTTAAAATCTCCAAAATAAGATTTTACATAAAAATACAGAGTCAAAATCAAAATATAGAGATATTGATATTATTTAATACATTGATAAATTTATTATACACACCACAGGAAATGTTATTTAATGTGACATACTGAATATAATATAATATAATATAATATAATATAATATAATATAATATAATATAATATAAATTATGAGAATTAACTTATTTTAGCCAACTAACTAGCTTCTACAGCCTTCAAGGCATGAACACTCAGAGCTGTTCTCATTTTCATATATAGATTCAACAACATGCCCATATTTCCATATTTAATCTCTATATAAAATTTCTTTTTTCTGTTTCGAGTTATTAGTGTCATCCTTATGAAAACTACATTCCCATTCTCCTGATCCTTAATAGAAAAATCTTTTATTCTCTGACCACTGATTTTTTAAAGGCATATTGATTTTTCAATGACTTTTCTGTATGTGTGGGTGATAACATTCAGACTGCAATTGCAATTTCTCCTCTAGTCTTTTTATCTTAAGTGACTTTTCCATCACTTAAAATAAATAATCTCTCCATTTTCCCTCTGGGACAGACTTTAAACCCTGAAGTTCAGCTTTATGTTATTGAGGTTTGTACTGTAAGGATTTAACCAAAAGATAATGTAATTGGTGTCCAGCTGGTAAGATCAAATCAGTGGGTCTCTCTCTCTCTCTCTCTCTCTCTCTCTCTCTCTCTCTCTCTCTCTATCTATCTATCTATCTATCTACACACACACACACACACACACACACACACAGAAAGCGAGAGAGAGAGTTTCCCATGATGATATAATGGGACATATTTAATTTATTTTATTTAAATATTAACATTATGTACAGACAGTGAAGTCAAAAACTCACTTTTCAGTCTAGCTGCAAGATCTCTTGAATCAAATATCTAATAATAACCAAACTGAAAAGCCCAGAGTGTCCTGTACAGACTGAATAGAGCACTGTGACATTATTTTATTAGCTTAATGAGGTTTTAAATACAGCTTGTGCATGGAGTTGGTTGTCACAGTCATGATACCTTACACCAAAATGACATGAAATTATTACTGCAATTATAATAAAAAATATATGCGAAGAATGGAAAAAACTCAAAGAATATAAATGAAATCATTTATCAAAATGATACCGTGCTTGAGTAGTAGAATTTTAAAATAAAATTAAAATAATAAATCAACTAAATTGAAAACAATTTGTCAAAGTAATGTTATACGAAAAAGTTTAAATTTATAATGTAGCCATTGAAAAACTTTAATTACTACAAAAAAATACATTCATGCAGTTTATAGTGTGCACACATATATGTGTGTGTGTGTGTGTGTGTGTGTGTGTGTCTATACACACATACACTGCCAGTCAAAATATTTTGAATGGTGTCTTTGAAAGGTGCCTAATTACAGTGATAATGATTTTGGCCTTCTCTGATGAAATTAGATCTTCTTTCAATAAAACACAAGTCATGTCTAATATTTCTCAATGCACTAAACATTTAATAATAAACATTGATCAATTCACTTATACATACTCCTGGACTAGATTTTCAAAGTTGAGGGTATTTACAATGAGGTCAATTAAACAAAAATTCTAAAATATAAGGTGTTATATAGAATAACACCAACACACAGACAGTTTCTATACATGAACACGTGACAAGCATCCTCATGATGAGTGTGACAAACATCACCACAATGACACTTACGCTAAAGAAGACTGTGAGGACGTCCATACTTGAAGAAGGCAATTAAACAAAACATTGAAACTCTGCCCACTCTTTAATTACTCTAACTTTATTTCAATACACACTCATGTTAAATCAATAACAGATTAAAAAAAATCACATTTCAAAAGATTTCTTATAAAAAACAGAAAAACTCATTTCACATCAAGTCTCTTGCAGCCAGAGGGAAGGAAGATAGATGATCTCTGCCCTAATAGCTTATTATAATTTTTTAAATAGTAACCCAGGGTATAAGTGCTATATCAACTAACCACATTTTCCCTTACATTCATCCTCCATTTCCTGTCAGTGTCTCTCAGGTGATATAGAGGGAGTGCTTGAACCCCCTATTAGATTTTGCTCTTATTTATTTAAATGATGATTTCTTTGTTATTTGGCCTCCACTGTGAGCACTTCCTGTTTAAATAATAATAATTTTTAGGGTGAAAGGGTGAAAGGTGAAGGTTAGTGTAACTCATACATGCTTTATCCAAGATTAACTCTGGCCATTTAATGGAGAGGATGGAGAGAAATGCTGGTGAAGGCAGCATTCAACAATTATTTCAGACTAGAACGTTCCCTAAGGCTTTAAAATTGAGAGTGACATTAAAGGTAAATGCATAT